GGCAGGCAGGCAGGCAAGGAAATAAATAAATAAGTAGGTAGGTAGATGGGTAGGTAGGTAGGTAGGTAGGGAGGGAGGGAGTGAGGGAGTGAGGGAGGGAAGGAAGGAAGGAAGGAAGGAAGGTAAGTAGGTAGAGAGGCAAATGGGTAGATAGGTAGGTAGGTGGGTACGGTAGGTAGATAGGTAAGATAGGTAGTTGGGTGCCGAAGTAAGTTGTGTGTATGTAGATAGCCAGGTTAGACTCACCTTCCAGTAACACCAGCAATAACAAACACGGTGTCCTGTGAGCGGACATCGTCCTGTACACAAAAGCAAAGATAAATAATTAAAATCATACATTAAATTCATACCATGTTTCAGGTATTTGATTGGATGGAGAGTAGATTCTCGCGCAAAGTGATTGGTCTGGCATTTGTCTTGCCATGTCACGACCGCGTTCGTGCCACGAGCTTTTCAGTCATATGAAAACTACTCTAAACAAACAAGTACTTACCGACACAGCAAACTTGAGAACTCTCTTGATAAGGTCTGGTTGGGTGACACTACCCATACAGCGCATCAACCGTACGCGTTCCTCGTGCAGATCTGCCTCACGGAACAGCTTTTCCACAGCATCAAGAGTAGCTTCATTACCATGTTTGAGTACGATGCTATAGATGGACGATCGCAGATCAGCATCAATGGTAGCCTCCTTCTTGCAGTGGGCTTCAAAGCGTTTTCGTGCTTCCTCGACTGTTGCCTCGTGTCCGTATTTGCCCAAACGGTTGATGACCAGACCACGAAGAAGAGCATCAAGATGACCTGAGGAATCCAAAGAAATAATCAAGTGACTAGTTAGCCTAAGAATAGACCTTTTAAGTGCGATGTTACTCATATAAAAACGTCTTTCAGGTCCAAAACGAAAAGCAGTTTCACGAAGGAAATTTTACTTCTTCTTTATGACAGAATTTGTTGTCCAAAGTTCCAATAGACCTCCTCGGCACAGGTGTAATGTGCTCCAATTTCAGACGTGTCATTCCTTTGCGAATAGGATTCTTTTTTAAACATGTGTCTTCTCATGTGTAACCGAAAGCAACCGTTAAACAAAGAAATGATACTCTAGAGTGTTGACACGTGGCCTGAAATGGGAAAACATTACGCCCAAGGTAAAGAGGGCTATCGTTTCAGCTGGAGGCTGAGTCATTGACACAATGAGGACGCTGAGAACTGCCATCTCCGTAGAGCTAGTGGTGCATCTAAACCCGAATTAACCACTGCAGAGAATTTTTTGAACTAGATGCTATAAACGTTTATATGTTTCTTATAAGATAGATATTTTTGAATTGCTCAAAACTGATTTGACCGTAATAGGTTTTATAACATTAAATTAGATTCTAGCCATCCAATTTTAAATAAGAAATTGATTTTTGCTAAATGGATGAAAATAAGATAGATACGCCTTAAGATTTCCCCTTACCTTCCCCTTCTTTGGCATCCCAGCCCAATTTTGCAGCAATGGGTTCATATAGCTTCAGAGAGAATTTGCCAAAGCTGTCAAGGTAATCAGTGTATTGTAGGATAACCCCCATGTTGGCTAGGTTGGCTGTCAAGTCGTTCCATACAGTGTAGTTCACCTCGCTGGAATAAGCATCTATTACTTTGAGGAAGTCTGTGGTTGGCACGAGACCAGCACGAGACTGAAATGAAAGAATGAAAAAGGAAATTAAAAAAAAAAGAAAAATGTAAGTTTTTAAATTTGTCATTCTCTAATCAGAAACAAATGCTAGGCTTGAACAAGACCAGTATATGAGTGACTGTAAAGAAAAAAAATGAAAAAAAATGAAAGTTTTGAAGCCTGCCATTCTATAGAGGGCAGGCAGCCATGTGACTCAAAATCCCTTGAGATATAAATAACAATGAAACAACCTCCATGTTGGTTGATCTAACGAGAGAAGTTGAGGAATGCTTTGCTAATCATCGACCAAGGTGGTGGCTATGACATAACATGCACCCCAAGAATACAAAGAAAATGTCAAACGACTGATATGTATATGGTGATATTAGCCATTATATAAAAAAAATCTGGTCACTGCTAATCACCACTGCAAGTACAGCAGCGGCGCCACTTAACAGGGTCGAACTGAAGGCATGTGAAGGTGCCTCTGCCTGCCACTATACAGTCCATGAATGACCCCGGAGCACAGCTTTAACCAGTTTGAGAGTATAGAGATAGTCTTATACTTACCAAGGCATATAAGTCACTCTGTAAGCCAAGTCTATCGCGAGGAGGAAGAGAAAGGTCCCTGATGGCTGGAAGCAGGAGTTCCAGCATGTCAGAATCGTACTGCACTCTATAGAAACCTACTTGACCAGGGTTCACCTTCAGTGAAAAAGAAAAGTAGAAGATTAGAGTGCATACCGTATATTGGTGAAAACTTTTGTAAGAAATTGCACAAATTAGTAAGTTCAGTAGACCCCTGCAGACCGTAGACGTACAAAACTTTGCACTAATTCGTACGATTTTGTTAATTAACTTTCTTCATGGGTATATGGCATGTTATAGAACAAGTTTAAACTCTTGTGGTCTCAATAACACTCATTGTTTCATAAAGCCTTCAATTTTATCAAATTCTAAACCAGAGACCCCAGGGGTGTGAGACGAGTAAATAACCACTATGCAATTGCCAAGAGAGAGAAATCTTGCTTCAAAATGCATGCAAAAGTGATCTTACCTTAACCCACTGGTCAGCTTGGACTGCACTGACCAGTAAAGTACAAGAATCCTTCTCCAGAAGTGTAGAAGCAGCAGGATCAGAGGTGTTGTTGCTCGTGATAACACTGACAGGGACATGCCACAGTTGGTTGGTCGCTGGGTTGACAAATGAAACAAAAAAAATTTGTTTTATTCATCATGAGTGGATAGTCTTTCTAGTGCTTTCGCACTAATTTGGGACACTTTTAACTCACACACACTACAACCACATTCAATATTCTATGCACACAACGCTCAACTCACATGTGGATTTTTACTGAGGGAGGAAAACTAAACTTAACTCAATTCACATACTAGCTTGGGCAAGGGGACACCAAATTGGGCCTCCAGCCATAAACCTAGCATGGGTGAGGGATTGATGCAGTGGCAGTGTAGGCCATCCCTAAATCTGCCTATTAAGCTGTAGCTGTTGTATCACAACAGAGCTAGACTCCAACTAGCCAATTATTGTGTGATCATGAGTGTGTCGTTGTGGGTGGAACATTCAGTAAGTGTTAGCTAAGAGCCCCTGTTTGTCAACCAAAGTCTATGCAGGCCTCCACATTACCAAGATCTTTATAAGACCAGAGTTGACTGAATTTACTACACTTTCTTTAACAGCTTTATTGGCCTTCAAACTTCTCAATGAACAGAATAATTAACTAATACTAAAGAAAAAATAATAAAAAATAATAATAATACAAGAAAGAAGGACCAAGAGGTTGGGCATGAAGTGGGATGTAGAGTCCCATGCGAGGTGCCTTCCCATAACTAGTTTCAGCTAGTTTCAGTACTACAGTAACTAGTTTATACTATACCTTCACCAGATCCATCTGCGCAGAATTTCTTTTGTGTGATGGTCAGTTCCTTGTCATTTCCTTTCTAAATTAGATATGAACAAAAAAATAAAAAGATAACATGTCGCAACAAATGGTGGAGGGTTTACCATGCATTCCATTCTAATGGGAAATGACTAATACAGGGCTTGAAATAAAAAAAAAATTGTAGCCTGCAAATTATTGTAGTAGATAAAGGAGCATGGTAAAAGGAGGTCACTCCAATTATTTGGCAGGCAATCGTTATTTCTCCTGCCAAACCTGAAATTTGGCCTGTCATTCAGCCAATGGCAGGCCAGTATACATATTGTATGTATTTTTAAGCCCTGCTAATAAATCAAACATAAAAAAGAGTGTTCCTACTCCACAGCTGATAATCAAACATTGAGAAATGGGTTGAAAAAAACAAGTCTACAGTACTGATACATATGACACCAGCATTACAATCTAAACAATAATTACCTGCTGTGCTTTAACAGACAGTACAGGGAAACCCATCTGTTTTGTCCAGGAATTCATGACACTAGCAACAGGCTTGCCACTTGCCTTGGCCAGATAGTCCCACAAGTCCTCTAGAATAAAGAAGTACATTTATACATGATCACTCTTGGATTGGTTGTGAGTGTGTGCTAATTCATTAAGCCTTATCACACTGATATCGTCTCTAAATGTGTAGTGACTTAATATAATTATTTACTGTGCTATCCATCTCTGTTATTCATTGAACATGTCTTCACATAGTAAAAGGGTCAGTAATAAGACTCAGTATTACTAAAATTTTGATGGTGAAGCAAAATAATAGGAACAATATGTTTATACCAGTCGAAGCATTGTTGTACTTGAAGTTGTTGAGATAGTTCTTCAATCCAGCACGGAAATCCTGAATACATAAAAAACATGAAAATTAAAAGAAATAAATTTTTTACTTTGAATAAGGAAAGGGAGGTAACATAAAATTGAAGAAATAGAAAATGATAGTTTAATTAGATAATTACAAAAAGAGACAAATATGTGATAGAATGAATGTGTGAATGGACCAATAAGAAGATGCATGAGAGGATGGACAGGCAGACAGACAGGTGGGTGGATGGATGAACAGCTGAAGGGTTAGAATAGATAGACAGATTGATTAGATTTTCTACCTTGTCTCCTATGTAATGGTGCAACATTCTTATAACTGATGCTCCCTTACTGTAGGAAATTGCATCAAAGATCTCATCTATCTCTGCAGGGTGACCCACTGGTACCTAAAGGAAAGGGGGGAAAATGTGATTAACTTAATATATAGCTCTAATGCAAAAGCTGAATAGGCAATGGAAATTCAAACTTCACAAAGCACTCTTGGGAACCAAGTACTGTTAAAAAGAGAACAGAAAAATCAAAAGAAATATCAGAAAAAAATTATCTGTAATATTTATTTTCGTTTGTTGTAATACATTATTGTACTTATATATAGTTCCATTGAAAATGTCAAAGGAAAAAATGGCAAGTACTTTCCTTTCTATCATGCTTTGTGCTATAAAATAATGCTCATGCACACTGGCTATTATGCCAGAATTACAATATGTATGTTGGGGGACTTGACAGACTGTATTGGTGCTTAGGGAACTACATTTAGTTTCTAGGTTCAATCTAAAAACAACACAGTAACTTCAAATGTCGTCTGCCAATCAATGTTAGGAGAATGTTACAAAAAGCTAAAATGTCAGATGTTTGACAGATTGTTATATGAACTTTTATTCTTACCTCAATAGGATGGCTAGGAAAAGAAAAAGAAAAAAGATCAATTGAACTACATGTATTTGGTAGATCGGCTTCTACATGGATGTTCTACAATGTATGTTTTGAACTCGACAATGATTTTGCAAGTGAGAATATGCCAGTATAAACCAAAGCTTTAACCATAAACAACTCATATAATTACCTATTTTTCAAAGCATCTAAGCTGATGCCTCTAGAGAAATCAGTGGTAACAAACTGAGTCCAGATGTCATACTTGGGGAAACAATGATCTACACAGAGGTATTCAATCCAGGTAGCAAAACCTTCGTTTAGCCAGAGATGTGTCCACCATTCCTGAAATACAAGTTAGTACTTGATAAAAGATGCAAAAAATAACAATACAACACAAAATTATTCATAACAATACAAAAAAATTGAAGCTAGTCAAATGAAAACTCACCATTGTTACCTGCAAAAAGTGAAAAGAAAATATACAGTACATTAGAAAAGTGAACACATCATCAATAAATAAACAGAATTGGACTATTAATGGTTCCCCCTAAAGATTTTTAAATGCTTAAAGTGTAGAATTATAGACTCTAATTCTACACTTTAAGCATTTATATATCTTTACAGTATAATTTATATACTGACAAAAGCCTTCGAATCTCATTATCTGCTACAACAACTGGTCAAACACTGACCACCTTGTGCTGTCAGTCAGAAAGAAAATGAAAACTTGTGACTCAGCTGATAAACATTCCACACAACACAGCGATGTCCAGTGAAACCCAGTTATTGCATTTAAGATAATAAATTTCAATGCAACTTTGTAATACAAAAAAAATTAATAGTATTTATCATACCAAGTTGCCAAACCATTGGTGAGCTATTTCATGTCCAACAACAAGAGCAACCCATTGCTTTGCAGCTGATGAGGAGTTTTCAGGGTCAATCAAAAGTGCTGTCTCCCTGAAAGAGGAACATCAAAAAACTATTTATATTAACAGTACCATGGACCAAGAATATGTATTTAATCCCAAATCCTACCAACACCTTAGTAACACCAGGCCCATATCTGCTTAAATACCAACTGACAGCTTACAAATAATATCCTACTACACCTTACTAGCAAATTGCAGACATCTGCATAACACCCGCCAAAAGCTTATCAATATCCTACCAGCACCTTTGTAACACCTGGCCCATATGTGCTTAACACCAACTGACAGCTTACCAATATCTCGCTACTACTAACACCTTACTAGCAAACTGCAGATATCTGCTTAACACCTGCCAACAGCTTACCAATATCCTACCAATACCATAGTAACTCCTGGTCCATATCTGCTTAACACCAACTGACAGCTTACCAATATCTGGTTACTACACTGTACACCTTACTATCAAGTTGACACATCCCAACAACACCTTAGTGATAGCCTACCAATCAAACAGCATCCAACAACAACCTGCTAGCTGTATCAACACCATAGTGAGTGCTGTAATAAAGAATCTGCCTCACCTGTAAGTTACCAGCCCCCAGTTTTCCATTGCACCTGTTGATTAAATTATTTCCATACCTGTTTACTACTATATGCTTTGTTTGGTTGTGCATAAGAACATACACGAACATATATATACGACTCAAACAAAGAATCCTATTTCCAAGAGAGAGACAAGTGGTCGCTCTCTTGAGGATGGTTGCTCCCAAATACTTCTGCTACAGGTCTGTTCTGTACTTACCTGCTGCAAAGTCAGCTATTGCAATCAAATCCATTTTTGGAAGAGGATAACTGATACCAAAATAATCTTTGTAGAATGGCAATGTTTTAACAGCAACCTGAACATATACAGTACATGTACTGTGAATTAATATACTGCATAATGCAAGCAATGTATAATGAATACTCCAGTTTTGAATTCTCAAGATTAGCCTCAATTTCTCAATTTCGTATGGAACTACTTTCAATATTCATTCATTCCAGTAAAAATCTGTGAAATTTTAGAGTTTTTGTATCATTGAAGTTGTACATTCTTTACTTTACTGTTGGTATTATTTTGTGAATATTTGTACCCTGAAATGAGGCTAGCCCTGTATAAGTGAGTCTGTGATCAAAGAGCACAGCAGTTTTTGACTATACAGTAATTCGAAAATGGTCTATTACAGTCTTATGCATAATGGTTGTGGTGAAGGTGGTGATGTGGGGAAGCCAAGGCTGGACCTTTGGATAATAATAATAATATTTGTTTAAAAGTCATCCTTTTAAAATAAGTAATCCTTTGCACTCATGTTTCTTAAGATAATAATGCTGTTCCCCAGGAGGCGGATCCAGGATTTTTAATAAATCAAAAATAATAAATGAATGATTTAAAAGTGAAAAGATTGTTATGCCTCAAGTGCGGCAATGCCACATGAAGCCCATAAAAGACGGGAAATAAAATAGCATATCAAATTGACAAAAATTAAATTTGAGAGCCTCAGAAAAAAAAGGGATGAGTGAAAGTTTATCCACATACTAAGATTTTCTTGTGCAAAAATGAGGCAGTAACTGTTCCCCTACCCCCTCACCACTGGATTCCCCCTGCACCCACCCTTATCCAAACCCAGATAGACTTCTCAGACAGTCCTTTTGCTACTGTACCTCAAGAGCAAACTTTCCCTGAGCTGCCTTTCCTTTTGGTGTGTAGACCCTAACAGTGACACCATCCTTGTCTTTGTCTTCAACATAGTCATATTCACCAACAACAAAGGCAACCAAGTAGGTAGACATGATTGGAGTGCGTGCATACTTGACCACTTTTAGGGATTTATCGTCATCAGCTTGTTTCTCTTCAATGACATTCTAAAATAAAACACATTTTAATTAATTCTAATTCACATCAAAACTAAAAGAGAGCCAAATTTTTTTTAGTTTGTGAAAACAATGTTATCTCTATGTACCAAGGTTGATCACATTGTGTAAATCCTGTAAAATATACCCTCTGTTGTATCCCTATATCCTTTTAGTTTATTGTACTTGTATATCTTTAAATAGAAATGTTGCAAACGTAAAAAAAATAAAATCCATAATTTTTTTTTCTTTTTGCTTGATAGTCTTATGGCTTAAATAAACTGAAAGGTTTCACAAGCCACATACACTTTAATTTTGCAAAAAACTTATATGCTTTTACAGAAAAAAGAAAAAAATACTGTATTTGGGAAAAAAAAAAGAGTTACTTTCCAAAAGTCCATATTCCTCTAGCAACAAATTCACTAGTAAATTTGATTAATTGACAACAGCAAAGTTTGACCCCTGGAAAACTTTAAAATGAATGAATATTATACTTTTTAGAATTATAGCAATGATTATCATAAATTTACAGTGAGGACACTCGGACCCCTGAAAAACTTGATTTTTTTACCACTTTTTTAAGGAATACTAAATCATCCCTTGAGCCAATCTATCAATAATAAGATTTACTTTGATCACTGCATTTCAATGATCAATGTATTTTAACTCAATGCTTTGAACATTTAGAGTGTTTGAAACAGTAGAAAGTTCAGGAAATAATTAATAACTGGAAAAAAAACTTGTAGTGTTCACAGTTGGAGATTCCTCACTTTAATGTGATCTTTATGAAATAGTATAATAGTACTTTATAATCCATACCATGTTTGAGAGAGCAACCAGGTCTTTGGGAACAACTAACGTCACATCAAAGGTTGCCTTGTGTGATGGTTCATCCCAACAAGGAAAAGCTCTGCGTGCATCTGTGGGCTTCAAAAAAAATTATTCAATTATTCATCATTTTTACATTATCTGTATGCATAGCTCGTAAGTCATACAGTGTACAGTAGAACCTTCATACATGTAGTACAGACTCAAAGGACCAGTAAAATAGTACTGTACATCTGTAATATACTGTAGAGGTGTCCTTAATCATAGAGGTCGGTCCATGAAACAAAGAATGTACTGGTGATTTTACTGGGAATTATTATGTAAATATCTGAGAAGAGTCATATTTTCATTCCATATCCAAAGTTCTGACACCAAAGAAGACTGACAAACAATGGTTATGGGTCACCATATTTGTTCCTTTGAAGAGAGGGAGGGTTGTCAATTATTATTCTATGACAGTCTATGCCCATTCCTCCAGCCATTTACCCTTTTTAAAAGAATGCATAGAATTTTCCAAGAAACAGATTACTTAACAGTTAAGGCATATAATTACCTCAAACTGTGTAACAGCACAGTATTTCTCTTTTCCATCATCTAGGTATTTACTGCGATAAAATCCTTTCATTTTATCGTTGAGTTCACCAGTAAAATCTAGATGAAGGTTGCCTTTCCCAACAGGAAGCTCAGAAGAGAACATGAGAGTAGCTGTTTCATCCTCCTTGCTGTAGGTAATGTCACCAGCACTGATATCTTAAAGCAAACAGCAAATGCAGTTATTAACTAGTAATGTAAAAGGGAAGCACCGGTGGTGTGCACTGCTAATGCGCTGCCTCTCACCAATGTGACCGGAGTTCGAGTCCTGCTGATCTTGGTGTCGTATGTTAGTAGAGTTATTTGTTGGTTCTCTCCTGTGCTTCGAGGGTTTTCTAGGTTCTCCGGTTTTCCTCCCTCCTCAAAAATCAACTTCTAAATTCTGATTTGATCTCTGGGCTTTCACTTAGTTTGGAGCCTAGCTCTGTTGTGATTGTCCCACGCTGTGATACAACAGTGAAAAGCTTTGTAGAAATGAAATGATTGCTTTTTTTTCTTACTTCAAGCCAAGGGCCACTCCCTTTAGTAATAAGTATTTTTTTTGTTTATTACCACTACATTGTTTTTAAATTTATCAGTACTCATTCAATCACTACTGTGCTTATAAATTTTTTTTGAATTCACATGCGCCCTTAATTCGGGGTAGTGTTTAGTTGTGAGGATGGTGTTTATAATTTTAAAAATGTGTTTATCATAATGAGTAACCAATGATTAAATACAAACTAAGTGAATAAAAATGTTTAAAAAATACAAATTATCATTTTAAAAATCTTTAAGCTCCTTTTCTCTTATTATTATTATTATTATTTTTTTTTTTCACGTCTTGGACAAGGGAGCAGGTTTCTGCTAGTACCAACAACGTTTTTTGAAATAGGTGTTTATAACACCACCTATTACATTAATTTAAAATGGCTAAGCTAGAAAATACCAAAACTGGATATGTAATGCAAAATCCTGAGTGTTCTTGCAATTGAACTGATGACCAGATAATTTTACTGTACCACTGTATATAAATTATGTAAAACTCAACAGATAACATTAATCAAAGAATATGGTAGAGACTAGATAAACTAGTTAACCGGAGTAAATGTCAAAATGTCACATTTACTCCGACAAAGGACTAACGTCCGAAACGTCAGTTTCTAAACATCACAAACTATACGGTGTATTAAGTTAAATCAATTCTTCTACTGTTAGATAACATTAATCATTTACTTGATTCCTTACCTACACTTCCGGCAGTGAATTTCACAGAGCTTATCTTGATGTCTAATGAGTTGAGTACCACCTTGTTGGTTGCCTTGGTTACCTGGAAAACAAAATACAACAGTATCAATAGAAAATATCTTCTATTATTATATACCAAGTGTCAAAGTTCAATTTTCCTCAATTTCTATTGGTCGAGAGTGTGTCACGTGAACGTGAAGAAATTACACTGTATCCTGGCAACAATTCTGGGAGGGGAATATTATGTTATGGACCGGGAATAACAATACCGGAAGTCACGTGATTGAAAAATATATAAAAACCGGAAACCAGAAAGCAACACATTAGAGCTTGCGTTTGAAAAATTCATTCACACATTTTCTTTCATGAAACATCAGATTAAACATGGAGTCTTCCCGATTTTCTTGCCGCGGAGAGGCGGAAATATCCAAGTTACTAGAAGACAAGGATCCTACGTCGACAAAAAAATTGACTAAACTAGCGTTCAAGATTTTACGAGAATTTTGTGAGGAAAAATGCCAACCTCAAAATTTTGAAAACATGGACAAAGAAGACCTCAATGAACTGTTGAAATCATTTTACACAAATGTAAGGAAAAAGGATGTTTTGTTCTCTTTGACACTTGGTATGATAATAAAGCACTTATTTAATGGGACCTTGGAAAAGCAGTATGTTTTGTGGTCCCACTACCGCTGATGTTTCCCTCGGCTTTGCCTTGTGAAACATCAGTGGTCTCAGGACCACAAAACATACTGTTTCCCTCAGTCCCAATTAATAATTGTTAAATGTTTTAATTCTGAATCTCCTTAGCTTCAGTTGGTGTGTGAAACAAATTTCTGTTGTTGGTAATGCTAAAAAGAGATTGATAACTTATTTTTTGGATTGAACAAAGAAACTTGCTATTGACAGACACGGTGGTAATACTGTATTGTATCGCTATGCTCTGATTATGGAGATGTACCATTATATTTGCTGTACATATCAATCTAATCTACTATTTTCGTATTTGAGACCATGTGTCATTGCCTTGAATACTATTTCCAGTAAAGCTTGAAAACATTATGCCCCCAAATGACAATTGTGCTGCACCAATGATGACTTCCCCCTGGCAACCCCCCTTCCCTTCCCTCTCTCACCAGTGACACACACAGAGATCAAAATCCAACATTTGCCTTTGGGTAACAAAAGTACCCAAGAAAAACAATTTGAAGCAATGAAGCTTACAGTGTTTCTCAATCACATGAGCGAAATCACCAAATGTTTTTTAAAACATAATAGAGTTTTGGTGGACGCTAATCAAAGTGTTTCCTAGCATGCTCAGAAAACACAAAGGTTTTAAGGGCATGTGGCTATGGAATAAAGGGCTGATCCAGGGGAGGGGGTGGGGGAGGGCAAAGAAGAAAAAACAAAACAAAACAAAACTGAAGAATTGGATTCTTTTTTTATTGTTTTCCGTTATGTTGACAGAAGAAACTCAATTATCCCCCCTGAACTCAATTAGCCCCCCCACACCCCCCCAAAAAGAAATTTGGCTGGATTCCCCTTGAGAATGTCATGGAAATGCAATGATGGACGTCCACCGAAACCTACTTCGTCACGATGGCAAATCGTACGATTTCACGCGTGATTGAGAAGCGCTGTAATTTATGATATAAATATTAATTTAGCTAAACTGAATTAATGAAGATATTTTAATTTTATAAGTTATCTCCATAAAATTAAGCTTCAAAAGGGATAATTAAAAGTGCATAAATTTTACATTTCAGATAAATAAAATGTTGATTAGTTGAATGGCCTAACAGAGAGCCTACCTCGACTTCTACGACTTGCTTTCCAGCAAAAGTAAATTCAGTCAGTGAAGGTTGAAGAGTCAAGGCGTAGTTTTTCGGGACCACGTTGGTAGGAAGTCGTTCAAATGGTTTACCGCTCATGGTTGTGAAACTACTGGTAAATAATGAAACCTTATGAAATACTGGAAATCTAGTGCTTGAAAATAAGAAGGTTTGAGATAAAGGTCGAAGTAATTTAGAACAGAAGTGGAAATTTCGGAGTAGAGCACAGTTCATCCAACTTCCTGGAAGAACTTGGGGAGGAAGGCGGCGACAGATTATCGAACCAATCTAAATCAAACGAGCAAACTACGATGTCTTTACGAAGAAATGTGTTTGGGAGGTTTCAACCGAAAAAACTCAAAATAAGAACAAAAATGCTAAGAAATATCATATTAGATTAGGTTAGAGTTAAAAGTATTTATGAATCTATATTTTAGAGAGTTAAAACTAATTCAAGCTATGCTACGAAAATGTATAATACTTCGGGAGATTGTCCAGAGATTTCCGAATGCAGTCGATTGCTTTACGACTTGTGGTTTTCAGTCCTACTCGGCGTCTACTCGGTGAAACTCCATTTGCGGTGTTGTTGGATCACACTATTCATGGTATCAAAAAAAGCTGATCGAAAAATGGGTAAGTTTGAAGATCTTCCTGAAATATGTGGCATTACTAATGTATTAAGACTCTCTTGGGACTTTTTATATGCATTGAACGACTGTCCTCCACGTGCGTAGAAGTTTTCACGCTTTGTTTTGCATAAAGTTTGTTTACGACGAGTCTTCTTGTGAGATGATAAACTTTTGTCCTTTAGATTTTCATATTTCGCTAGTTTACTCAAGAACATTATGAAAATAAAATAAAATACAAACCTAGATGTATAGTAAGAATACATAGAATCTTAATCAGATCAATAAACCAGGGAGGTTTGAAGGAATAAACTAACTTCAATAGTCACAGACACACAAAACCATTTGTTTAGTTCAAAAAGTCTGAATAATCTTTCCATTCAGTCTTTTTTCGAGATTGTGAAGTTATTTTGATATCTGCGATAAAACACTAGCTGGGAATTAGTTTGTTATCATTATTAGCGTGATAACATTTATTTGAAAATTGTTGTTTGGGCTCCCTGTTGTGGTGTTGTAGGTGCTCAAATGTTTGGGTAGACCCTTTTTAGGCGTGGTAAGTTTTCTTCTGTTTCATATTCTTGCAAAATGAATGTACTTGAGCAAAAAATGTTTAAAAAATAGAACCACTGCAAGCTAACGTTTCAAAGAAAGAAGATGAAGAAGAAATGGAAGAAGATGTAGAAGGTAATGACGAGGAGGAAGAGGAGGAGGACAATGAAGAAGAAAACGAAGAGGATGAAGAAGAGGAAGAAGAAGCTGAAGTCAAGCCAGTAAAGCAAACTAAAGCTAGAAAACCAAGGTCTTTTCTGACTGGTCGTGGTGTTACGATAGCTATGCTGATTGAGGATGGTGTCATGGAGCCTGGCGAAAAGCTGCTTTCTATTGACTACTTGGTGAGAAATTATATATTTCTATTGAACCTACAATTGCATAATACTGTATAATGCATAATTGATGTAATTTATTCACATCTTCAGTAAACGAAATGTGTATGCTGGCTGTAACATTAATTTGATGTTTAACATTTCTATATAATATTATAATCATTCATTATGATGTATAAATTATCATAAATTCATTTTACAGGGCCAAAAGTTTTATGCAGACCTTCTTCCAGATGGGCGAATTAAATGGCCTGATGCGGATAAGCAGTTCAACTCACCATCAGCATGGGCAATCCACTGCAAGAGAATGGTCAACCCATCCAAGAAATCTGGTTGTGGGTGGGCTTCTGTAAGTTATTACTATATGTAATACATGTGAAAATGCTTTTATGTTTCCACATGAACACGAGGCTAGTCAGTCGCTTGTCAGCGCAGAACGATAGTTATTCAAATTGCATGGTCGCCATACATGTATTTCGATTCGGTGTATAACAACATCCTTCTCAAATATCCTTTGTTCCATGATGGAATTGTAATTTAGGAGTTGATTTTTGCGGAGGGAGGAAAACTGGAAAACCAACCTGGAGAAAAACCCTTGCAGCACAGGAAAGAACCAACGAACTCTACTCACATATTGCTCCAAGCCCAGCAGGACCCACACCCAGGTTGTGTTGATGAGAGATGAGGCAATAGTGCTGCACACCACCCATGCCTCTTACATTGATGGCATTTTATTGCATATAAAAGATTGACTTAGGAATAAAATGAATATTTAAATAATTATTTTCTCTTTTTCTCTCTTTCCTGGCCTGCTGCAAGCTTCATTCCCCCTGAATATAACTGCTCCTTGGTCACGAGCGCATCAGAAAAATAAATTATTGATGAATGGTAAGCCCAGGGCTTATTCTACTGAGGACTTTATTGCATATCTTGTTATCATACTTTTGTTTCCTGTAGGTCAAATATAAAGGAAGGAAACTGGATCAGTACAAAACCACTTGGTTCAAAAAACACAGGACAGGAGAAACCCATGGAATAGTGAGTATTCACCATTTTTCATACATTGGTTCACTGGTCAAACACAAAGCGCTCAAGCGAGGCGCCAAGGTATCTTTGAAGGATTATTCAAATTTGAACCCTGACACAACCTTGAGTGAATGCTTTGTGTTTGACCAGTGAAYCGATGTGAGGAAAATGGTGAATATACAGTATGTATACTTATTAATGATAATTATGTAATATAATTATTATATTTATAAATCTAATAATTATTAATAATGAATAAAAAACCTAATAATAATTATTATTACTAATAATTATTAGTAGTAATAAACAAAAGACAAAATCAGCACCCTTAAAAAAATTGGCCTGTGCTGCTTAACCTATAATGTAGATTTATTATTGTTTTTGTTTTTTTTAATTTGCAGTCCAAGACAAGTCCCAAACTAACCTCACCAACTGAAACCTTATCTTCACCAAAAATAGAAGCACCAAGCTCAAAACCAACAGTATCTCCATCCACCACACCCTCTCTTACCAGCCCCACGACTGATTCAAATCAGCGTGCAGTATCTTCGGGGACAGATAAAGCCACCCCAAAACCTCACAGTAGGGGACCAGGTCGACCACGTTTGTCAAGCCCATCAAGATCACTTAAAAATCCTCCAGGAAGACCTCCTGGCAGACCAAGATTGAAGTCTCCAGGTGGAACACCTCAAGGAATCAGGTTGGTTTGTTTGTTTTTTGATCATTCAGGGACTTAAGAGCTAGGGGGGCTATAGCCTCAACAATTTTTGAGAAATGATTAGGCAAATTTCCCTTTTGTAATAATGCTAAAATATTCACAAGTATGAATCTAAATAATTCTTATATGCAAAGATAAGAGAAGCATGGCACATACATGTACCTGTAACAACAAAACCTAATTCAAAATCAATCTGTGAGTTAGCCATACTGTACCCTGACTTTGATCAGCCAAGAGGTTGTTTCAGGGTTCATTTTGTGTGGTAGCCACATGCCCTGACTTTAGATCAGCCCAGAGGTGGTTTCAGGGTTCAATCTGTGAGTTAGCCATGCCCTGACTTAGATAAGCCCAGAGGTTGTTTCAGGGTTCAATCTGTGAGTTAGCCATACCCTGACTTAGATCAGGCAAGAGGTTGTTTCAGGTTTCAATCTGTGTGGTAGCCGTGCCCTGATTAGTCCGGAGGTTGTTTCGGGGTATCAATAAAATAACTTAAATGTGAATTACATGTAATATACATTGTCATTAAAAGATGAAATGAAATTCTTTCTGGAAAAAAAAAAAAAAAAAGGCTGATATGAATTTTTCACTTTACAGAAAAATAACTTCTCCAAGCCTGACAGCACAATCACTATCTCTTCAAGCAAGCCAGTCATCATCACACGTGAGGCCATCTTCACATTCACCTGTGACCTCTCCTCTTCTTAGATCACCTGGACCTGTTCTTAAAAGTCCATTAGGTTTGTTGTTACCAACAGTTATTTCATGACATTACTAAGTTACTAAGGGTGGCTCCAGAAAGTTTTTTTTTGGGAGGGGGGGGAGTGGGTGTCCAAAACCTACTGTACATTAAAAAAGTGACATCATTTTGCCATTATACATACACTATACAAGTCATACGCATGTGTTATTACTGGTATAAAAGACAGCTCTTGAACATTCTCCATTTGTTTTTTTTTTGTGACGAATATGTTGTTATATTTTGTTACATTTTGTCAACAATAATGTCAATGCCATTGTTCATTATATATTTTTTATGATTAAAAAAGAGAAAAACAACTAGTTGTGGGGGGGGGGGGGGTCCCTGGATCCACCCTTGGTTACCTTAAATATTGTACTGTATTGGTATCATAGGTATTACAGTAATTTCAGATGAAATCAAGATATCATCATTGCTTTCTTTATCCCTTCATATGATTACAAAGGTTCAGGCCACTGGTTCAAGCGCTGTGGACTCCCTATGTGAATTGAGTTTGTTTGAATTTGTTGCTCTCTTACGTGCTACAGGGATTTTCTCTGGGTTCTTTGATTTCCTCCCTCCGTAAAAATCAATATTTTAGTCGAGTGTTGTGTGCATTGAACATTGAACATTGCATTTAGGGTAAAGTATTGTAGTGTGTGTGTGTGAAAAGTGTCCCCAATTAGTGTGAAAGTGCTAGAATGACTAGACATGAAGGTTTCAAGGTTTCAAGGTTTCAAGGTTTTTATTATTTCCCAAAATGTAAATTTTATACTTTACATACCACTGTTAAAACATTTAACTGGGAGGAGCAGAAAAAACAACCCTAAAGAGTTAAGAGAATAATTGTGCACCTTGGAACTATATAATACTTTTAAATAAGAACTTACAAGGGGGAAAAGTAGCAAACTAAAATAGATTCAATACACATAAAAAGTTAATAGAGTGAAGAGAATGAAGAGATTTATTTTAATACATACAGTAGTCTGGAACACTGAAGCTTTAGTAGCAGCAGTGCAGATAAATGGTGCAGGGTTTTGCTTAACAATTACTTTACAGGGAAAAAGTTAAAGTAAATAAATAATAGTTTAACTTGATTATTAATTTTTGCCAGCCCGTGATCTTCCTGTCCCATTGTCTTCACCTCCTTTGTCAGCAGGGAGGAAAAGATCTGTTCGAACCAGGATGTCAGTAAAACATTCTTCCGTCAAACCTGATAGGTATGCCAGTATGCTATATGAAGATGAATTTATTCACCATGTCATAGCATACTCTTAAAAAAAATCCCAAATGGGAATTGAACCCATGGCCTTTGTATCCTAGTTAGATGCTCTACAAGCTCACCTGTAACTCAGTGCTGAGTTACAGGTCAGGAGACTCTTGGTGAGCTACAGTAATGTCCAATACTGGGTTGTGTAGATCTTGTTGCAATAATGTGAAAACTGCTAGGCCCAGATGCATGACTTTATAACGAATTCAATCAATGATATTATACTTACGTGTAGGTATGTCAAGGTGTTAGAAAATATTTGCTGGTGTTACTACAGTACCATTGTCTTTGAATTGCCACTGGTTATCATGTCTTCCATGGTCCTTGTAAAGCCCCGTTTACACTGGCGATTTTTGCTGCGATTTTTGTGGCAATTTTCGGAAATGTGAAATCTTTTGTCTCATCCTTCAAAAGAGACATTCGTCTACGAAAATCTTGGTATCCTGAAAAAAATTTTACAAGTAAATTCTTTACCATTATTTATTATGGACAAAATCGCAAAACAATCGCAGCAAAAATCTCCGCAACAATTACTAGTGTAAACAGGGCTTAAGCTTTCTTCAATTGTTTACATGTATACCTTGGAATTGAATCTGATGCTTCTGATTTTTGTATTAAAAGTGACCCTCACACATTGGTAGAGCTGGTGGACTTCATGGCAACAGGCAAAATGCAACCATTTTCTATTGACATCTCAACCAACTGCCTACTTCTTGTTGTAAGTACTTCTTATGATCTGTATTTATTGTTTAATAAGTATTACATCATAATTATTAAATATTGTTTAATAGTGTTTAACCTTACTTTTTTCTTGAGGGATAAACGTTTGAATAGGAAAGACACTGTGAATCAATTTGGTCCATTAAATAAAATGTTGCTCATAAGATTAGTGTATTGCATTTATATTTTCATTTTACTGACTTATAAATTCATAGGATTATCATTGTCACCTGACAACCAGTGAAATAACAGGATACCTGGCTGGAAAATGGGACCCTCAAACTCATCGTAAGTGATTAATCAACTAACGATATAATTATGCATGGGCGTAGCAAGGGGGCCAAAAGTGGATATGGCTGGAAACTCTCCAGATGAAACTTGTGTATGTATTGGCAGGTAAAGAGGTACAATTGCCCCCCCCTCCCCTATGACCTTGCTAGGCTAGTGGATATATGCCGCCCCTTGTATGTGTATAATCAAAGGTGCTTTGCAGTCATGAAATGTGGTTAGTTAAAGTGTAGTCATTGTAATTACAAAGGCAGCACTTTCTCCTCAGTTATTTTAAGACCCTGAGTATCATTGAATGATCTGGTGGGGTCCAACCTGATTCTCAACCAACCAAACCAATCATTGAAATTTAAGATATTTGCATATTTTATTTTGGTTTTCAAAGAAATCTCTTTTTATTCCTTTAGATATGAAAATTCTTCAAGCATTTCCATGTCGTTGTCGTTTTGCTGATAAAGAAAATGCCCCCAAAGTAGAAGAAGAGGTAAAAGTGAAGTTTTGAATGTTTTTCAGTGGTTCTTGTATGTATTTGTTTCAACACTAAACCTATCAAAATGCTGGGGGTACCCTTCAAAGTTAGATACCCAGAAACAACCTCTGGGCTGATCTAAGTCAAGGCACAGGGGCTAGCTGACAGATCAAATTGTAATTTAGCTTGCAAAGGGAGAAAAATCGGTGTCTCCAAAGGAAAAACCCTCGAATCCTTACACTTTATTCCTATGTGATGCTGAGTCCAGGAATCGAACCTGAGACCCCAGAGCAGAGAGGGGAGTGCACATTCTCGTACCGATAGAAAGCTGAGAGGCTTTTAGTACGAAAATAGGGAGTGCATCCTTACACTTTATTCCTATGTGATGCTGAGTCCAGGAATCGAACCTGAGACCTCAGAGCAGAGAGGGGAGTGCACATTCTCGTACCGATAGAAAGCTGAGAGGCTTTGGGTACGAAAATAGGGAGTGCATCCTTACACTTTATTCCTATGTGATGCCGAGTCCAGGAATCGAACCTGAGACCCCAGAGCAGAGAGGGGGGTGCACATTCCTGTACCGATAGAAAGCTGAGAGGCTTTGGGTACGAAAATAGGGAGTGCACTACTGATACACTATCTTTGATTCTTTCATTCACACATGAATTACCCTCTGGAACCCAGGGTACACATGAATATGATAAACAGAAAAGTGCCTATTGGAACATCGTTTTCCAATGCTGGCCCAAGGCCAATATTATTATGTACAAGGAAGGAAGGAATGATGACATGCAAGCCAAATGGAATGTAAAAAAATAATGTGTAACTTGAAAAAAATTTTTTTTAGTAAATCCATTTTTTCCCGTTATCTACCAGCTTCGACAAGCTCTACGCAAAAGAGGTCTACAAGTGGTTGGTTGGTACCACAGTCACCCTAATTACCAGGCAGACCCTTCTGTTCAAGATATAAAAAGCCAGACAAAGTATCAGAGGATAGCTCAACAGGCGCTCAGCGGACCTCATGAGCCATGTATAGGAATGATTGTCTGTAAGTTGTCTTACGTTTTTGTTTCCATAATAAATATCTTACACAACGGCATTTAAGTAATGTGTGCTTCATTCATTCAAGCTGTGTTGCCGCATCCCCCGAAATGAAATATGGGTCAACTATTTTGGGTTCATTTTCCTAGCAGGGATTAAATACAATGATTTCTTTTACTCCGACGAAGGACTAGCGTCCAAAACGTCAGTAAGTTTTTTCATCTTTTCACGGTGTATAGTTTACCTTTTTATCATTACTGCTTCATTAGAAACACCGACGCAGCTCACACTAGTTTTTAGCTAGTTATCTCTTCTAATGATTTCTCTTGTCGATTAGCGTTTATGATTTATTTAGAGAATATTTGACCTATTTTGACTAAATTGACTAAGCACTATCAGTGTTGTAGGATAACTTTTGCTTGTTTTCTCAGCTCCTTTTGATACGTACAAGCCTACCAAAGAATCAACGTTCCGAACCTTTTGGGTAATGCAGCCATCTGAGAATAACCCGGACAGCCTTGGTGTCCCTATGCACGTAAGCTTCACTGTGCAACAGGATCAGTTCCTGACGGAGGACCTCTTGAATGAAATGGTAGCTACTCATTATTATTATTTTTTTCATTCTTTATCAAACATGCTAATGGCGTGCAAAACCAGTGTTGTACATGTACATCTATCTACCCACCCATCCACCCACTAACCACTAATCCGACTTTCTTCCGTCCGTCCGTCCGTCCGTCCGTCCGTCCATACATCCTTCCGTCCGTCCGTCCATCCATCCATCCGTCCATCCCCATCGAATCATCCATCCATCCCATTCACACAACGTTGTTATTTAATTGTTTCCACTTTTTTTCACTTCCAGAGGTGGCTATGGTGTTTCTATAAAGGTAGCCCAGATGCAATCGAGTTCAGCAACATCTGGTATGGACAACAAACATATATGGACAAAGTCAAGGTACTTTCTTTCTCTCTCTCTCCCTCTTCTTGCGTGCGTACGGGCTGTCTGCGACGAATTGGACGGATTGAAAATGGTGTATTTGGCCAGGGATGTGGCCCTGATTTGGCCCTCCCTGTGATATGACCAAGACCTCTATTTAACAAAAATATTAAGATATTTCAGTTATGAAGTGGTAATCGTTCATGTCTTTTACAGGCATCTTTGTTCAAGAAGTTCCCCTCCGATCAGGCAGACGGTCGATTCGTCGAGTTCATCAACACTCTTCTTGGATAACGTTTCGTTTTTGCTTTTGTAATATTATTTTGACCTTCTGACTCTTAGTATAGATGTCATAGTTATGTTTAAGCGATTAATCGAACAGGATCTAAGACTATTCACGCATAATATAAAATAGGAAAAACAGGCTACAGAATGTTTTATGGAATACTGTTTATTTACGTCACTCGTCACACGGGAGAAAAATATGCTTTACTGGCAGTTCTGTGTAGCTGAGTAGAATCTAATTTCTATGATTCGAATTCGAGATTTCAGTTGAAAAATGCAGAGTAAGGGTGCTTACCATTTACCAGGAAAAACCGAAGATTCCGGTTGGAAAACAGATGGTTTGCATCATTACGATCGGAAAGTTCCAGAAAACCCGGCCTTCTGATTGAGGTAATCCACTTTTCCCGCTCTTTTTGGTCCTTTCGGTAGACACGTGTACCATTTTTCGATAGTCAAAGTTTCCTGCTCTTTTTTACAATTAACGAATAAATTTCCAACCGGATGGATTGGTTTAAACTGGTAAGCACCCCAAGTGTGCTTTAAAAAAACAAAAAGAAAACGAAGCGTCTAAAATGTAACAAGAATGTAACTTTCTAAAGGTTGGAATAATTTTCAAGGATTATTGCATGTGTATAAAAAGTTCACTAGTCGAAAAAAAGAAAAGAGTATTAGTACTAAGTTAGCTAAAACTAAATATACATTGAATATTTTAAAGCTCCTCGTGTTTGAAGCCCTGGAATTCGTTCAGCGAGATGTAGCCATCGTTGTCCTTGTCTTCCTCGTTGAAAATCTCTGTGATGACTGTCTGGTGACTGCTATCTCCATCACCGTCTGGGATTGATTCTTTCCTTAGATAAGCTGCAACCTATTCAAATATTAAGGAGAAATGAAATTTTTTCCCCAAATGTTTATATCTCTGAAAAGAGAAGACCACATACAAAAGTACTGCAACCATTCTACTGCACTGCTCACATAAGTGATTTTGAAAAAATATTTTTTCCCCTTGATATACAATTTAATGGTTCGATAAAACTTAAGGTGAAACGTAATTTTTGAATATACAGTCAATGTCATTAACGTTGTCCACCGAAAGAAGACATTTACACATTTAGACTAAAAGAAATATCACTCGTTTCCTTGAACGTTCTGTCATAAAACAAACGCTGAAATACCATTCTCCATCTTTAATCCTCACTAAATGGTCGGGGAATTCTGGATTTTCGATTCACGAGTTGAATTTTACATTTAAAGTTCAGGCTGACGCACACGAGGCAAAGAATACATAATGAAACACGTGATATTTCTTTTGTCTAAATGTGTAAATGTATTAATGTGTAAATGTCGTTTTTCGGTGGACAACGTTAATGACTTTGACTGTGTATATGACCCATTCCCAAAGTGAATTTCTTTTACTTGGCCCCCTATTGAAACCAGATAATTTTCAAATATAATTTTTTTATTCAGCTAATTATTTTGGGTAGGCTCCCCTTTCGATGCTATATTTTATGTGCCCCCTCCCCTAAATCCCCCCAGCCCCCTCCCCCTTAAGTTGAAGAGTTTCCAAGTATATGGTGATTTACCTCATCATGTGATATCAGCCCATCTCCATTAATATCCACCTGACCAAAGATATCAGGCTTAGGTTGTCCATCCTTGATATCTAATAACTCAATGTAAAACGTCAAGTGTGCTTTAGGAGGGATAGCATCTCCTACTTGAAGCTCTCCATATCCATAACTTGGTGGAGCAACCAGTTCACGGATCTCTCCAACACACATGTCCAAAAGACCTTGGTCCCATCCCTGAATCATGGATCCTTCTCCGATTGTGAACTCGAGGTTGCTACAGAGAGAAAAATAATATTCTTCTTGTACTCGCCTCTCACCTCTGGGGTCTCGGGTTCAATAGCCCTCCTCGGCTCGGGCGTTAATGTTTTCCCATTTCAGACCACGTGTCATTCCTTTGAGAATAATATTCTTTGTTTGAGTTGCATCAATATTCATGTGCCTTCTCATGTGCAACCGAGCGCAAGCGTTAAGCAAAGAAATGATACTCTAGGAAATGACACGTGGTCTGAAAAGGGAAAACATTACGCCCGAGCCGAGGAGGTCTATTGCTGGACTGAGCATCATGCGAGTTTGTTTGGTCTCTCTCGATTTAAGGCATCTTCTCCGTTTTTTCTCTCTCTCTTAATAAACCCAACACGCCAAATTCCAATAGTATATTTGAACTATCCGTGCACTGACTTACATCAGGCAGCTCTGAAGTTGTTTCAATGCTCGATAAAATTGATTATACTGGGTATTCAATGCAGCTCAATACACATTACAGTCAAGGTCAGCTTGGTTTCAGAACGACACCGATATATCCGACGATAGGACAAATAAATAGAGACAAAATTGTGACAAATAAATAGGGATTTAATATTACATGTTAAGAGCCTGATATCTTTTTTATTCACTCATCGTTCACTGAAACTAAAGTTGATCTTGAAGATATATAGGTGCAACATAGGATGGAAAGAAGGAACAAATGTTTGCATAAAGATATTATTTTCTCTTGCTTTTGTAAGAATAATTACAAAATTCATTTCCGGATTCTGAACTTTTCTTAAATAAATGCGATAGCATATATTTAGGTGTCTGTTTATTTTTCTTCGGGGTTGTTAAACGCATCTCTTTTGAGCACCATGACACGTGTGCGCCATTGTCATTTTGGTGACGTTACAACTTCTATGCCATATCATCAATTGTCAAAGTTTTTCAGTTCTAACTGATTTAGTGCCGGTTTAATCGAGATTATTTTAGATAAAAACTAAGTTAAAACCTTTAGAATGTTATTGCAGTTCAACTTAGGAGATATTTCTGCATACAATTGCGAAGTGAACCAATAAATCCATTGTGAAATTGGTCGAAATTTATGGTGGGTAGTCTGTTTTACTAAATGAATTATTCTTAACCTTCAACTTTGCTTCACTATATCTCAAAACGTGGAGAAAAATCTCAGTGGTGAATTTAAAAACTTACCGGCCAATGTATTTCTCAACTAGTAAGCTATAAAAATTTTTAACTCGACACACTCGGGATTGAAAAGAAGAAAAAAAATTGAATTTATGTTTTCTAACTGTGAAGAGTTTTTCCACCAAACTTTTCTTAAAGTTTAAGTTACGTTTTTTACTTTAAGTTTTTAAGCCAACGAAATATTAAGTTAAAAGTTATTGAGTTATATCTAATTGCAAGGAACTATTTATAAAAATAGCATTGCTTACCGTGTTGGTACCAAGAGAGTACCATCGACTAGAGTAGCATTGTATTTTACAGTCAAATGGTCTCCATGTTTCGTTTCTTGGGCGCATTTTTTAGGTTTCCTCATAATTCCGATCCTGAGTCCTCGAAACTCTTCTTCTTCACCACCTTCATCATCTTGGAAAGAATTTTCAACTAACGTCACAAAAAGAAGTGAAAAGAGAACTAGTTTTGTTATTCTCCACATGACTGAATCTGTATTTCTCGGTTCAAGGCTCGGAATTCTTGGACGCGTGTTTGTAGCTCTCTGTAAGTACACTGACTGCTACAAGTCTTCGAGCTTGCTTTATTTGAGGCTCATTTTACAGATTACACGTTGGAAAACCATACGTGGAAAATAGGATCCATATTCATGATACTGTCGAGTTGTAAGACATTCGTGATGGGGCCTCGTTCGTTACTTAGCGATAGGGTCCAGAATAATTGAGCAAAAAGAGGCTATTGTCCAACATCGATCGATGGCCGGATGACGTTGAAAATCAGCCAGTTGATTTTTAATCGTGAAAATTAGCTGATTATTAATTTGTTTTTAGATTGAATTTAGTAAAATACAATTGAATGAAGGCATTTTTGTGTTGAGTTTGGTGGTCAAACGAATTCGCGAAAGTCACTGCTTTAAAAATACTAGTATGTAAGACATAGAGAAAAAATATTAACTATTCAGTCACAATAACCTTCTGTGATGGGTGGAAAATATCTAAAATTCATACCAAGATTTTTCTAAAAATCTAAAAGATTGTGCGCGCTACTCAGAATAAAAAAATAGGGAAGGATGAGCTAAAGGTAATGATTTCACAAGCAATGTCAAAGATCACAAAATCGAACTTTGCTTGTCAACAAATAATCTTAATACGTTTTGTGGCCTGATTATACGAATGTAATTAACAATGGAATACTATCGCAACCAATCAGTACTTGGGATAAACAAGGAAGGAAGGAAGGAAGGGAAGGAAGGGAGGGAGGGAAGGAAGGAAGGAAGGAAGGAAGGAAG